ACACCCTTCCCTTTTGCCTCTAGCAAAAACCACACACCCAGCTCCCATAAGAGGAAAGTCAAGAAGTCTCCTTTAGAGAGCTTAGAGTTGGACTGAACAGTTAGTTCCCTCCCAGTCCTGCCTCAGGGAAGGGAGGGTCATGGGAAGCAGATCCTGCCTACTGCAGCTTGCTGTCTGTCACCTTCCCTCCTCCTCTTCTTGCCCCAAGGACAGGACCACAGAGTTGGAAGGGAGCCCAAGCCCCTCTATGGGTGGAGCCAGCACCTCTAATGTGGGGCTGAACACAAATCCCTCCGCAGCATCCCTAATTGAGGGTCCTATAGCTTTTGCTTCAAAGCCTACAATGAGAAGGAACCTGTTAACCTCCCAAGATGGCCCATTCCTCTCATGAATTGTGCTAAGGATTAGGAAACTTTGCCAAGTCTGAATTTGCCACTTGGGCCCCTGGGGACAAACTCTCCCAAGTGGGACTCCTTCAGATACTTGAAGGCTGCTCTGGTATCCAAACGTTCTTTTCTCTCAGCTAGCCAAATGGAGGTCTTTCAGCCTATACTCATGTGTCACACACTCTAGGGTCTTGAACACCTTCAGTGTCTTCCCAGATGTTCTTTATCTTACCAACATCCTTTCTAAAAATATGGTATCCAGAATCAGATACGATGCTAAAGTGTGGCTACCCAGGGCAGAGTGCAGGGGGCCTATCATTTCTGTACTCCTGAACACTTTTCCTATCTCAGTGCAGCTGAAGATTGCTTTAGCTTTCTCAGCTGTCATCTTATACTGCTGATTTATGTTGAGCTTGCAGTCCACTAAGACCCCCAGGTCTTTCTCAGATAACCTGCTGACTAGCCATAAATCCCCCCTTCTTATGTTGTTTTCCACTGCAGCTACACTCCAAGGCCATATAGGAAGGGAAGGGAATGAGTATTTATATGATACCTATGTTAGAAATATGGTTGACACTTAAAATTTAGTATAAAGAAAGTTTATTACATAGAAAGTCGGGAGGATTAGATATTTCTGGCCAGAAGCAGGCTCCACCCCTCTTCAGGAGGGATGGGCCCCAAGTGCAAGGGCAAGTGTGCTTTTATGCATTCAAATTCGGCGCGAAACCTCCCAGGCCCGGATTGGTCCCTCCCTTCCTGGGTTACACCCCTCCTTACATGTTTCCCCTTGATATGCTCAAGTATGTTCCCCCTCCCTCGGTCATACATCCCATGACTCGGTAATGAGGCTCTAATTTTATGTAGGGTGTGTCAGATAATAGTAATGAAATTCATTAAGCAGGCACACTAACATTTTTCAGGTGTCCTTAGGTTGACCCTAACTGGTCTGAGCTGGCTCGACCCTTATCTTGAATTTGGAGTCTTTTTAGAGCAATCAATTTACTTCTTATCGGTTAAGCCCAAGCCCACCTACAGTGTCCTACTTCCTGGAATTGTTCATTAAATCTCTGCATTATTCTCTTTCTCTGTGGAAATATAACCTTTACCTGACTCTCACACCTATATGTATCAGTCACAGTGCTAAGCACTTTAAATATCTCATGAGATTCTCACAACAACCCTGCAAGGTAGGTGCTTCTGTTATTACCCCCAGTTTACAGTTGAGGAAACTGAGGCAAACAAAGGACGAGTGACTTGCCCAGGGTAACACAGCTAGGAAGTATCTGAAGCTGGTCAGGAAGACCTGAGTTCAAATCTAACCTCAGACACTTAACAGCTTTGTGACCCTGGGCAAGTCTCCTAACCCAGTTTGCCTCAGTTTCCTCATCTGTAAAATGAACTGGAGAAAGAAATGGCAAACCACTCTAGTATCTTTTCCAAGAAAACCCCAAATGGGGTCACCAAGAATTGGACATGAATGAAAAATGACTTAATAACAAAAGTGAAACCAATCAGTCAGTAAACATTTATTAAACAACTTCTGTGGGCCCAGTGTTATGTTACGTGCTGGGGATACAAAGAAAGGCAAGACAGTCCTGCCCTTGAGGAGCTCACAGTATAAAAACAGACACAACATGCAAACAGCTATTTACAAACAGTCTACATAGAGCATAGCTAGGGAATAATGGACAGAAAGGAGGTTCTCTGGTTGTTTATTGTTGTCGATTGTCCTTCATTCTCAAAGAGGACCTCACGAGGGCAATGTCTTGACTTGTGAGTGAGTTGGATTTCAGTGAGGCAGAGCTGCGCATAGTCATCAGCCTCCATCTCTCCTCCAGAGTCTAGCGGAAAGACATAAGTCAGGATGACTGGAGATGGACCAGCTCCTAGACTGAGGAAAGATTGGGAAAGACTTCCTATAGAAAGTGAGATTGTAGCTGAGGAAGCCAGGTGCCAGAGGCGAGAAGGGGAGGTCATTCCAGGCATGGGGAACAGCCACTGAAACAGCGTGGAGTTGGCGGATTTGGAAAAATGCCTGTAGTCGGGAGAAGAGTCCGTCCTTCTGTGCTGCCCCTAGAGGAGGGGGCACCTGAACTGATATTTGAAAGACTAGGAGAATTCTGAAAGACCAAGAAGAGAAAGGGGGTGCAGGGTGAAGCACAGGGGAATAACCCATGTCCAGTGCACCAAGCCTAGAGATGGCATGTCAGGCTTGGACAGCATGATTTGGAGGTTTTGAACCTGGGTGATTGGGAAGATGATGGTGTCACCAGTAGACATGAGGAAGTGTAGAGGAAGGGAATGTTTAGAGGGGAAGATGATGGTTTAGTTTTGGGCATGTTGAGTTTGAGTTGCTGGTAGGACTCTCCATGTGTTGCAGTTAGAGATTTGGAATTGGGATTCAGGAGAGAGATTAGGATTGGATATCAAGATTTACAAAATATCTGTGTTACAGTGATAATTAAACCCATGGGTTCATAGAGAAAAAAGAAGGGTGCTCTGGACAGAGCTGGGGAGTGGAAAACAGGGCATGTAAAAGGAAATCAGCTTTCAAATTGAAGTTCTCAAGTATGAGGAAAAGGGGTTGGGGAAAGGGGAAAACTATGAGCCAGGATGCCTGGGGGCTGGCAGATCACAGCTACCAGGATGTGGATAAAATGATTCACCTGGATGCAATGAACCTTAAAGGAGCACAGGTTACTGTATGAAGATGGTAGGGGGAAGGTCTGGAGGTGGCAGTGAGAAACAGGAAGCTTGTCTACATCTCTGTCTGGCCCACTGAATAGTAAGCATGTATATCCAGTACTAGAGAAGGTGGTCAGGACTGTAGTAGAGGAGTGAACTTTATCTTCCTGTCTTCTTGTCTCCAGACTAAACTCAGAAAGACTGTAATACAAAGGAAAAGGGGCTGGATTTGGAGTCATTCTGTCTTTCATTACATTTTTGAAAGTGACTTTAGGCAAATCACTTTACCTCTATGGGTTTTTTTTTAATTTAAAAGCTTTTTTTAAATTAAATTTTATTTTATTTTTACATTTACATTCTTTCCTTCTTACCCCTCCCACCTTAAATGGGAAATCAAGAAAAATAAAACCCCAGTTACAAATATATAGTCAAGTAAAACAAATTCCTATATTGGCTATGTAAAAAATAATTCTCAGTCTGTGTTCTTGAATTTATCACCTCGCTCTCTGGATTTATGGTTGATCATTATATTGATCAGAGTTCCTAAGTCTTTCAAAGTTATTTGTCTTTACAGTATTTGCCTTTACATATACTGCCATCCTGGTTCTGATCTCCTTGATCTGTATCATGTTATAACAAGTCTTCTTGGGCTTCTCTGAAATAATTTCTTATAGCACCTTAGTGTTCAATCACATTCACATGCCAGAACTTGTTCAGCCACTCCCTAATTGATGGGCATTCCCTTAGTTTCCAGTTCTTTGCCACTAATAAAAAGAGTTACTATAAATATTTTTGTCTAAATGTGTCTGTTTCTTCTTTCTTTGATGTCTTTGAGGTGTAGAACCAGTGGTGGTATCACTGGGTCAAAGAAGCATGTATAGTTTAAATAGCTTTTGGTGCATAGTTCCAAATTGCTCGATCAGTTTATAGTTCCACTCATAGTTCGTTAACATACCTGTTTTCCCAAAGCACCTTCTGCTTCTGTCATTTTCCTTTTTGATCAACTTTACCAATTCCATGGGTATGAAGTGGGACTTCAGAGTTGTTTAATTATCATTTCTCTAATTATTAGTGATTTAGAGTATATTTATATAGTTATTGATATTGTGGATTTCTTCTTCTAGGTACTGCCTGTTCATATCCTTTGACCATTTATCAATTGAGGAATGACTCTTTTTCTTACAAATTTGAATCAGTTCCCTACATATCTTAGAAATAAGTTCTTTATCAGGAAACTTGCTACAGAGATTTTTTCCCCCTTGTATCTTCTCTTCTGATTTTAGCTGCATTAGTTCTGTTTGTGCAAACCCTTTTTAATTTATATAATCAAAATTGTCCATTTTACCTTTTGTGAGCCTCTGTCTCTTGTTTGGTCAGGAGCTCTTTCCCTGTTCATATCTGACAGACACTTTCTTTTTTGCTCCTCTACTTTGTTTATTTTGTTACCTTTTATGTCTTGGAGTTTATCTTGGTATGTGGAGAGAAATGTTGGTATATATCTAGTTAAGGCAGGGACACTTGACCATTTCTGTACCATAGGTCCTTTTGGCAATTTGCTGAAATCTATGGACCTTTTCTCAAAATAATGTTTTTAGATGCATAAAATAAGATACATAGGAAACCAATTATATTGAAATACAAAGGAAACAAAATATACTGAAATATAGATTAATTTTTTTCCCATTCAAGATTATAGGCCCCTTGGGTCTAGAGGTTAAGAACTTTAACCCGCAGGTTAAGAACTCCTGCCAAAATCTCTTTTTGCCCTACATAGATGTATATAGATACATATGGTATGTAGATACCATGGATAGTGCTGTATCTCCATCCAGTATCAACTCCATTCAAGTAAGGGATCCAAGAAGTCAAGTAGGATTTGAGACCCTATGACATCAGTGACAACAGTTGTTCTTGCTTTTCTGACTTCAGATCACAGTCAGGACTCCTACTCAACATCGGCTGGAAGGAACATTTTGGACAGTCCTTCGAGGATGCTTCAGCCTTTCCTACCCAACAGAGGGAAGAGGACAGGGACCCTTCCTAGCATCCCTCTGCCTGTGAGGAACACCATGCTGGCTGCTGCCCTTTTCCCAGAGTTTCTGAAGGAACTGGCGGCCTTGGCCCAGGAGCATTCAATTCTATGCTACAAGATCCTGGGTGATTTTGAGGAATCTTATTGTTAGCCCTTAAAAAAAAAAAAGCAAACAAAAAACCAAGTTTGTGCAGTTTTAAAAAAGGGTTTTAGTGTTTTGACCGATTTTTAAATACAAAGCTGCTTATAAAAATTTCTACTTTGATATTTCCTGACAATACTTGATCTGGGAAGGGAATAATCTCTTTATATATTCTCTCTCACCACTGGGCCCTTATGATCTTATGCTGTGTAGAAAGTCTCATAAGGTGATAGTTTGCAAGAGGGCTTCTCATTTTGCTCAACTTCTCCCCCAATTTTTTGTTGGTCATCCCTTTCTCTCCCCTCCCTTGGGCCTTTCAGCTGAGTATGCATCTGGTCTCCAATTGGACAGACATTTGTTTGGGGCTACCCTGGGAGTCCCAGGCATGCTCCACTCCTTTGGAATCTCTCATCACCAGGCACACCTTAACTTCTCCGGTGCCTTAATGAGGGGAAACAATTCCCAATTGAACATGCCTGAGACTTAGCAGACTGCTCCTCTGGCCTTCAGTTCAAGTCACCAGGTTCCTTAGAAGGAAGAATGGAAAGAAATGGAACCCTTGGGTCTTCCTTGCATCCACTGAAATCAAGCATCTCCCTGCAAAACAAGTGTGCTGTTCAGTTTATCTTGCCTTAGGGTGCGGGAAGCCTCCAGCTCACAGCTGGCCTCCAGGAAAGTCAGATGGAGTGCTGAGCCTGGCAAGAAGTAGGAATGCATGGAATTTCCCCATTGTGTTTGTGAGCAAGACTTACTTTCATCAGCCTTCCCTTGCTCCCTGAATGCAGAAGTGAGCCTAATCTGGTGAGATTTGCACATAATAAAATGTTCCTATGCAAGTGGCAACCTTGTTTTTTAGGAGACTGATTTATTTCTGTCTTCACCAACTAAAGAAAGGCCAGCATCGTTTACTCATGTCTGAAGGACAATTAGAATTATTTTTCAAGTGCTCCCAAAAAGGAAACCTATAGACTCTGAGACAATTTCATTGCATTTGTGGAATAGGGCTTTTAGCACTTGTGTAAACTAAGTACTATGTGTAGAAACACTGGTGATTTTATACAGTTGTGTACTTTTTCTGATATGTTGTTGCACTCTGTAGAGGGGTGCTGTGTGCTGTTCTCTCCCCTCCACCCCGGGAGCCAGGTGAGTAGATGCACACAGGTTCCTAGGATCTGTGCTGAGCCAAGTAGTTGCTACTGCCTCACTCCATGAGGAAATTCTGCTTCCTGAGTAATGGGGTTTATTAGGAGGGCCTAAGATGGGATGTATGAGCGCATCACTGTAGCCACCTCACTATCCTCCCAGTTCTACAGATATGCCTTAAACCACCCCGGAAGGGAGAAACTGAAAAATAATTGTGATCAAAACATGATTCCAGATGTAAACATTATTTGGAGTGTTGAATTCTCTCACTGTGCCCCATGCCACCTTCCACCCCCATCCTCTTGTTTTCAAGCAAAGCTCTCCAGGGTAGAAAAACCAATTCATAATAAGCCAGCAGTATTATGAAGGAAGGAGATCAAAAAGTCTAGCTTCCTGCTCTGTTTGGGTGAGAAAAACAGATGGAGTCCCCTGGGCTGGGCCTGTCCCCATGAAGTAAACTTCTTCTCTAGAGACCAGTTAAGATGACTTTGAAGTGCTGGTTTAATCCTGATGGAAGCTGAGAAGGCAGGAGAGGAGCTTGGAGAAGGCACCAGCATTGGCCGTTTTAAAGATCCTGAAGTAAACAGAACATGAGGTATGGTGCCTATCAAATGGAAGACTTAGGAAATAAGAGGGAATTTGACCTAGGCTAGAGCTAGGAGGTAACATGGCTTAACGAAAAGACCAGCTGAATTCTGCTCCCTCTGTGGCCCTGGAGAAAGCACTTAAGCCTTCAGACCTCAGTTTCCTCACATGAAATGAAGGAGTTAGGGGGTTGGACTAGATTTCTAATAAAATCTCTTCTAATTCTAAGTCTTCTGATCCTATGACCTCTTAGGGATTATATTTAAGCCTTAGTTCTGGAATTCTCAGTGAGAAACCAAAATCCCATTTTTTTTTTTTCCTGACTTGAAAATCTTTGCCTTAAAAAAAGCTCATTGGCCAGCAGTGGGGCAGCCTGAGCATTTCAGAATGGAAACCTCTCACCAGCGTGAATCTCTAGGCCTTGGTTCTTTTTTCAAATCCCCATAGGTCTCTATTTAGAAGAGAATATGGTTTGCTATGCAGAGAGAGCTAACTGTGGAGATACTTAAGTCAGGAAAAGGGTTGTGGGAGTGGGTGGGAGGGGGGTGAGGAAGGACTTTTAAGCTGTCATTTCATGGGATGATTTAAATCTCTCAAACCAAAACCTTTGAACTTTATGTTCCTCAAGTATTTCCTTCTGTTTAGACTCACTATCTAATTAAATCGCTTATGTGGCTTGCCAAAAGGATTTGCTCCTACTTTTCTGCATTATCTTTTTCGGATCTGTTATAAAAAGACTCTGTGGTTGCTGTCTTTGGGGAAGAATAAGAATTTGTTTTTTATGACTCATATCTTCTTTAGTTAACTATCTGCCTTCTCCATCAATGCCCCTAATGGAAGAAAAGGTGATATGCATCACTCATCACAGGGGTTGCAGAGAAGCCTTTAACCTACATGTACAGAAATCAAGTTAGCCCTCTACTGATTTTTGAATTTAAAACATAGGACATGGCTATTTGTGAACACATACTGCACCTCCAAAGCATGGCCCTTCAAAGCTATGAGGGTTAAGTTTGGGGACAAACTGACCCCTGGAAGCCAGGTCTAAATAAGAGTAGGTGTTTGGGGTGGGTATCATGTATGCTGCTCCTCTTGAGAATGCTCTGGAGAAGGTGGTGAGGGAGTAAATGGAATGAGGTGGGCAAGGGGAAAATGGGGAGTCGGTTATGATGGCAACACCACAGAAGAGCAACAGAGGTTTGTGTGGCTTAATAAGGCAGCAAAGAAGTTAATCCTGAACGACCTGTGAAGTTAAGCTGATTTAGGGGCATGAAAGGAAAGGAATCTATTTGTAGAAAACTTGAAAGATAGATCCTGATAATATAAGGTACTGAAAATGGAAAAGGGGTGATAATGAAGGACCCCTTGTGCAACAATCAGGATAAGTAAGAAGTTAAGATGGAAATAAAAGCAAGATAAATGCCTACTTTTCTTCCTGGCCCCTAGGAACTCTCACTTAAAAAAATAGGGAATAGCTGCTTCTGCTATAATGTAAAACAGAAAAGGAATTTGGAGGAGGATGACCATGGAAGAAGATTATTTTTGAGTTTCTAAAAATAAGAATAGTGGCCAGATTATAATACAGTGTGATTGACAGAGTTCTCCTAGATTGGGAGCCGGTGAGGCTGGGTTCCTTTCTCTGCTGTTATGTGACCTTACCTAAGTGACCATACCTCTGTGAACCTCAGTTTCTTCATATGTAAAACAAGGGTTGAATTTGTTGATTCTTCTGGTCCTTTCTGCTTCTAAATCTGTGATCTTTGGTTGCTCGAATGCAAAGAAAGAAGTAAGGGCACTATAGCCTTGTTGATTTGGTCCTGAGGTGGGGCTGTGTCAGTTTTGTAGACTCGGGGAAGGAAGGGTACCCACTAGGACACAGACTGGGTGAGGGGTTGCCCATTTCAGCTTTAATCTCAATTCCAGTTTCAACACCTGTATTCTGAGATGACCACATTTTATCATTCAAAGTACAGTAGAGCATGTATATCTGGCAGCCTGATTTCGAAAATGGGCAAATACTTTAGTTTAAAAAATATCGGGGGAGGGTTCTGAAAGGGAGTGGGGGTGGGGTGGAGGAAGAAATTAGGCAAGGTTGATCCTGATAGTTTATCTTCAACTTTAACTTCCACTAGTAGAGATGGGAATACTACTGCTAAGTACTTTTTTCGTTCATCTTAGAGGAATTATAGGAAATGGGTTTTCTTTATGGCCCCATGCTTTGCTCTGGGGAGGTGGAAGAGGGGGAGTGGAAGATGATCCTGAGTTTGTCAAGTTTGTGGGTGTATGTATCTGGTCCACTCAGCGAAACTCTTTCCACTTGGGGAAATGGATGGGTTTTATTGGTCTCAGTTGTAGTAGACTTAAAAGTCAGTATCATTTGGGTTGACAGAAGCATCTTTTTGTGGCTGGAGGCTGCAAAGCATTTTGCTTGCTTGTGCTATCAGACCTTCTCAGGGGGCAGCCACCAATTTTCATGGCTGGGTTTGGATATTTGTGCTTATTAAGGAAGCTATCTTCCTAGCCAAGGAAGAGACATTTTCTCGTTGCCCTCTACTTGTGTACTGTAAGGCAGAAGGGCCAGTGTACACCCTGTTCTCTCCATGTTTCTCATTTCTTTTTCTAGAGGTTCTTGGCTTTCTGCATCTTTTGGGATGGTTTGGAGCTAAGACAAGGGTGGCCCATTCTGGACCTGGAGGCACACAAGCAAGCATGGGGTGATGTTCTTCCCTACAGAAGCCCTTGCTTTTTTTTTTTTTTTTTTTAAACACCCATACTACTGGCCCATGTTTGCCATAGGTCCCCAGCTTCTGCTTCAGGGCTGCTTGATTTAATCAGCCATTACTAGTGCTGTGTTTACGGAAATGGCTGTCCCCGCTGGCCATTTGTATGAAAGATTTTATTGCAGGATGGCTATGATTACACATGCTACTACTTGGTTGTACATGAACCTCAGCTAGCCTGGCAGTATTAACTGTAGCAGGGGACAGGCAGTGGGGTCAAGCTAGCAGCTATAGGTCACTCTGCTCCCTGCCCTGGGCCCCCTTGGATGTTAGCCATTAGTTTGCACCTCCCTTGACACCCAACTCTATGCCAAATCACTCCTAAGAACAGAGTAGTGGAAAGGTTTAGATCCCCTCATCCTTACAGAAATTATGTAACTGAGTAAAACACTTCTTAGGACAAAATAGAGTTAACTTTTTGGAATGGCCTTTCTTAAACCTAATATTCATTAGCAAAAAAGCTCTCAGAAGGGGGAAAGACTTGTCTCCCAGATGATTCTGTGCCCATAAATCGTTTCTTCACTCAAGCAGTTAATAGCCCATTAGCAAGCAACTAGTCCTTGTTCTGGAGGGCAGATTATCCTGGCAGCTCATTAACTGGGTAAACTGGGCTTTGGCCAAATGGATGTGGGTGGGGGTGGGTGGGTTTTGAGTGAAGCCCTTTGTGGACTAGAGAGGGGAGGAGCCGGAAAAGAGGGTATTTCTTAAGGATAGTGGCAGGTTATGGGAAGATAGCCAGCACCTCTGACCTCGTTTCTAGGAACAAAAGGGATTTCATCTTCCAAGCTGCACTGCACCAAAAGGTGTATCTTTTATTAACAGTTAACAGTCTGGTGCAGTTGAAAAGAATGTTGAATTTAGAATCAGAAGGCTTGGGTTCAAATCCTTTCTCTGCCACTTAATACCTTGGGCCAGTCATTTAGCTTCCTAATCTACAAAATGAGTGTTGGGTTACATTGTCTACTGTTTCTTCCAGCTCTTGATCTTATGAAAGTCATAGTCAACTAGTCAACTCCCTTAGTCAAGTCCAGTATTTAAAATTCCAGCAATAAAATCGGCAAACCACCCAACCCATCCCAGATGTCTTTTGTGGCCTCCCAAAATCTGCCACAGAGGCTTATTTTGACGGTGCGTGATCAATGACTGACTTCAGTCTGTGGTTTCCTATTATTAGCCTATTTTAATTTATTTGTATAGATTAGTCCTTTGTTCTCTATGATTTTTATCTACTCCCTGGGGGTTTTAGCCATCTGTACATTCACTCTCTGGCATTAATATGTACCAACTTTTGGTCTCTTTTGGACTGTCTCTTCTTGAAATGGTCATGCCACTTTCTTCCTCTCAAGGGCAAACCGAGCTTAATGTTAACTCATACTTTTATTAATAAGCAGGCTCTAGTGAATCAATTCTTCCCCACCCCACCCACTGCCCCATATGATTCCTCTTTGAATCTATGACAGTATAATGGTACATCTTAGTTCAGACCATAAAGGCTTCCTAGAGCTGAGACTGCTCTCAAGTCCCATTTGTTATGTACTTATTGGGAATGAGTGAGCCTTATATTTCCTTGAATGTTCTGAAGTTAATGATGTTACTGCCTGACTTGTTAGGAGGAAATGTCTCTCCTGGGCAGTATCCCTTTTATTGAGCATTCATTTCAAAAGAGGGAGATTGGGATTTGATGTTGCCTGTCTTGAATGATTTCTGGGTAAGTCCCTTTAGCAGAAGAGGCAGCAACTGGTATTCCATGATACAACCACCAATTTGATTATTTAGTACTTTTTTTCTTTTTAAATAGTATTTTATTTTGGGGCAGCTAGTTGGTTCAGTGGATAGAGCACCGGCCCTGAAGTCAGGAGGACCTGAGTTCAAATCTGGCCTCAGATCAAACACTTGACATGTACCAGCTGTGTGACCCTGGGCAAGTCACTTAACCCCAATTGCCTTACTAAAAAAAAATAAAGTAATTAAAAAAAATAGTATTTTATTTTTTCCAAGTACATGTAAAGACAATTTTTTAAAAACATTTTCTTTTTCTTCATAAAATTTTGAGTTCCAAAATTTTTCCCACTTCCTTAAGATGGTAAGCAATTTGATATGGGTTATACATGTGTAGTCACGTAAAACATTTTCATATTAGTCATATTGTGAAAAGAAGAAACAGAACAAAAGGAAAAAACCACCAAAAAAAAGTGAAAATAGTATGTTTTGATCTGCATTCAGATTCCATCAGTTCTTTTTCTGGTTGTGGATAGTATTTTCCATCTTGAGTATCTTGGTGTTGTCTTGGATCATTGTATTGCTGAGAAGAGTTAAGTCAATCAAGCTGATCGTTGCACAAGGTTGCTGTTACTGTTTACAGTGTTCTCTTGCTTCTGCTCACTTTTCTTTATATCAGTTCATGTAAGTCTTTTCAGGTTCTTCTGAAATCCGCCTGCTTGTTATTTCTTACAGCAAAATGATACTCTATCACAATCATAAACCAGTTTGTTCAGCCATTCCCCAACTGATGAACATCCCCTCAATTTCCAATTCTTTGCCACCATAAAAAGGCTGCTATAAATATTTTTGTACATGTGGGTCCTTTTCCCTTTCTTAATTATCTATTTGGGATACAGCCCTAGTAGTGGTGTTGCTGGATCAAAGGGTATGTACAGTTTGATTGCCCTTTGGCAATGCTCTCCAGATGGATCAGTTCACAATTCCAACAACAATGCATTAATGTCCCAATTTTCCCACATCTCCAACATTTATCATTTTCCTTTTCTGTCATATTAGCCAATCTAGTAGGTGTGAGGTGGTACCTAAAAGTTGTTTTAATTTGCAGTTCTCTAATCAATAGTGATTTTGAGCATTTTTTCATGTGACCAGCAATAGCTTTGTTTTCTTTTTGTTAAAGCTGCCTGTTCCTATCCTTTGACCATTTATCAATTGGAAAATGACTTGTATTCTTATAAATTTGACTCAGTTCTCTAAATATTTGAGAAATGAGGCCTTTATCAGGGACACTTTCTGTAAAAATTGTTTCCCAGCTTTCTGCTTTCCTTCTAATCTTGGTTGCACTGGTTTTGTTGGTACAAAACCTTTTTAACTTATTAATGATAAAAACTATTCCTATTTTCTAATGCTATGTCTTATTTGGTCATAAATTCTTCCCTTCTCCATAGATCAGACAGGTAAACAGAAGAGTACATAAATATATCTTGCTAAAAGTCAGATGATTTTTTTTTTTTGGTAAAAAGTTTGTATTTTCCTTAGTCTGCTTTCTTCTGTCTTGTCTTAACTCTTATTCAAATAAATGTAGTTGGTTTTTTTTTAATGGGTCACTGAGTGTGGTGGCACACACTTATAATCCCTGCTAGGATCCTTGTCAGGAGGCTGAGGCTGCTGGGTAGTTTAAGTTCAGGAATTCTGAATTATAGGACCAGCAGTAGGACTAAAAACCAATTGGATGTCCATACTAAGTTTGGCACCAATATGGTGACTCCCTGGGAACACAGGGCCACCGGAGGGGGCAGACTGGCCCAAGTTGTCAAAATGGAGCAAGTTATAATTTCCATGCCAGTCAGCACTGGGTTTGTGCTCGTGAGTAGCTGCTGCACTCCACCTGGGAGGAGAGAACCCAGTTTCCTCTTTTCCTGTCCCCTCAAAAAAAGAAAAAAAAAAGGTCATTTTGTAGAATCCTTGAGCCCTGGAAGCTGAAGCTGCTGATAAATTGTGCATATGATGGAGTATGGTCACAAACTTACATATAAGTGAGGCTCTTGGAAACCAAGAATTAAATTTTAAGATAGTTTCATTCCTTCCAGGTTCCTAATAATAGGCAACCTGGCTCTCAGCTACAAATCCATCCCCATCTCAGCAGTAGTGTAGGGCTAGAAAGCCCATCTTTGGCCAACTGCACCGGCCAATTTATTTTGCTTCTAGGTTTGTGCCCAGCGTCTCGAGTTCTAGCCACCAGGGTGACAGAATTGATAAGTGTTATGACTAGATGTGTGATCAATTCCAAAGGAGTTTCATGAAAGACTACCTGATAAGCAATTATTATTAGGGACCATCAAAATGGCACTAGTACTTTCACACAAGCCCTTCAATGTAAATCTCTCAATAATGCTGTAAGGGCAGGCAGCACAAGTATTTATTTTACTCATTTTTACAGATGAAGAAAGTAAGGCTTAGAGAGCTTAAAATTTATTCATTCAACAAACATTAAGTGCCTTCTATGGACCAGGTGTGGTGCTAGGTACTGGAGAAAGACAAAAATGCAACAGTCCCTTGCCCTGGATGAGTTTTCATTCTTTTGGGATATACTAGACAACTGGTGTCAGGCTCAAATAGGAACAGATGCCTACAGGTCCCATTTGACTTAGAAAACCACAAATTAAGATCACCTATGTTTTATTGTATATTTATTTTGTTAAATATCTCCCAATTACATTTTAATCTGATTCCTAGCTGCATTCTCGAGTGTTACCTCCACCTCTGCACTTGGGCAAGTCTTTTCCGCTCTTGGACTTTTTAAAAAAAAATTTATAAAGATGACGGTACAGGACTAAATGACCTTTGGAAGTCCTCTCTACATCTGGTGGGTAGTGGTAGGATTTGAACCCAGGTCTTCCGACTCCAAGGCTAGTGTTGAGCAGTTCAAAGTGGGGGAGACTGTTTTCACAAGGGGAAAACTCCGCTTACTCCTGAAACTTGGTCCTGGCCAGGATGATGTGTTCTAAGTCAGTCTGGGAGAAGGGCCTGTTTTCCCACATCATCTCTCTTACAGAGTATCAGCCACTAACCTCTACAGGCGGAGCTTCAAATGACAGACGGCAAAGACTCCACCTTGGTGCTGACACATACATTTTAATGAGATTTTCCTTGAATAACGGAAAAAGGGTACCAAACAAAAATCACACCCATGCAAAGAATGTATTTAAAAAGGGAGTTTTACTGAGACCCACTGGGAGGACTGAGCTACTGCTTTCCTTGTGAATTTTCTGGGGTCTTAAGCAAACAAATCACATTGTTTAGTTGAGGGTGCAAGTAAAATGTCTGTGATACTATACCTGAGTTTTTACAGTTGCAGTTAGGTCAGCACAAAGTCCTTTTGGGGAGATCTTAAAACTTGGTAATAGTCAATCGTCTGCAATGTAAAAGATCTGGCACTTTAAAGGCCAAGTGTTTTAACTCTGACATTTTTCATTATGAATCTTCAGTCTCTAATATGGTTTAACAAAGACATTTGCCTTTAAAAAAAAATTCTTGATAGAGCTGCCATCCTAATTAAGTAATGGCTTAAGTTCTGAAAAAAGCCTGAAATGCCTTGGCCAAATTTTATTATCCTAGAAGCTAGGGCCTTTTGTGAAAGATTGATGCAAATAGCAAAACTCTCTATTTGTTAGAGATAGAAGAGGTTGCTTTCCTCTCTCATTTGGGATTCATAGTTATGGAATCTAGAGAGAAAAGAGAGAATGAGGCCTGAGTTTCTTGCTTTCCTAGGGAGGGTTGGAGAAAGTAAAAATAGGCTTTTTGTTTTCAGGTCTGTTAGTTTTCAGTGTTTAAGTAGGAAACCCTGCATGTATTTTTTGTGTGTGTGCGCGCGCGTGAGGTAGAATCTTAAAATTCTAAACAGCTGCAGACAAGAATGAAAAGGTTACTTGCTCATTCTTCACTACTTATCTAATACTGAGAGCACAGCCATCATGAACCAATTCCTCTTTTTGAAAGGTAAGGGGGATACTTTCCTCCCCTCTACATTCTCTCAGGGAATGACCGTCTCTGTTTGCAACCAAGTGGGTATTTGGAAAATGTGGAGGGATGGGGGGTGAAGCTGGCAACACATTTTTCATGGTACCCGGCTGTCACTGGAACAGCATTAAGTACACGAGGTGACTAGATCTGTTATGCATTTTGTTTTTATCAAGGGCTGATGACGTTTTGTATCAAGCTAGGGCCACTGCAAGATTTTACTTTCTTGTTTTTGTCCCGGGTGATTTAGAAGCAAAACAAAAGAAAACAAAAAACCAAACTGGTCTTTAATAGCCAGCTCTGAGTCAGAGGCAACAGACCATCCATAGGAGGCCTCCTGTGCAACGTGGACAAAATGGCGTGACTGGTCATATGACATGAATAAGAGCAAGGCCACCTTCATTGGGATGTCACATTAAGTGCATGATGATTATTTTTAAAGGTCAAGATCTCTATTTGCTAATTTAGAGTATTATGCTTTCTGGATAAAACAAGTCAACCTAATGTTACAGCTTTTTTGGGTCATCTGCACAATATATGAATTGTAAGTTAATTTTTTTATGTGAAGTATGGGTATATATTTTATTCATTAAAATATTTGAAAACATCTACTTGCCTTATTTTTTTTAATATGATCTCAGTTAGACATTGTGTCCAAAGCTCTAGGTTCCTCATATCCTCAAGCGCTGAAAACCAAAGCTTCCTTATTAATTGGGTGATGAGCAGGTAGAGGCGATACCATTGTTTCCCTGCCCCCGCATCTCCCACCATAATCTTGTGTGCAGATACTGCGGTTCCTTTTGCCTGAACCAACCAATTTCTACTGCTAAAAATATAGTGCTTGAATTACTGGATTTCCTTTTTTTTTGTTTCCCTCTAAAGAGAAAAGCCGGTACATCCTTTGAAATCGTCGAGCCTGATTTATTTCAGAATTCTAGAATCTGAGACTTGGTCGCTGCTACATTTCTCACTGAAACCCCCTAAGCTCCCACTGGCATAGACACAAACATGGGAATAAGACCTTCTGTTCTCCTGTGGAGAATTCCTGGTAATCTCGGTCATGGGGATATGGAGCCAAGGGAAAGCCATTTTGTAAAGACCGGGTGGGGGGGTGGGGGGGTGGGAACACTGGCTCAGCTCTGGAGGCCAGGGCATGCTGCTGATCTGGGGTGAGCATGGTGGATTCCTGAGACCCTGTGATCAGAGCCTGTGGCCTCGAGGTCCTAGGGAAGGGGCCCAGACACAGTCTATGCTGGTTTGCCTTCTTCATGCTCCAGTCAAAGGGAGCCAGCCCTAGAGCTGCTCACTGCAGCTGCTTCTCCAGGATCTGCTTTATCCTGATGGGGTCTGCTCGTCCTTCCGTTGCCCTTCGGACCATCCCAATCAGTTTATTCACAACTTTCTGGTTTCCCTTCTTCACTGCCATGACCTTCAAAGAAATGAAGAAAATACATTTAAGAGGAAAAGCAAACAGCTGTACTAGGCAGTTGTTTCTTAGCCTTATCTGGGGGTGGGGAGAAAGGACTCTACCGAAGGTTGAGTCTGGCCATCTTTGTTGGCCCTTGGCCATTTTTGTAAAGACAAATCTGAAGATCACTCTGCTGAAGGGAAATTTCCAAACTCTGGCTTCTGATATAAATGAATGGGAAAATTAGCAAGTGAAGGATGGCCTGGATCTGGGCTAGTCTGGAAACCCTACTCTCCTCTTTCCCTCTTTAACTTCTGTAATGATAAGAGGAGGGCACACTAATGGTGATTCAGCCAAGCTCCTTTCCTAAGTAGAGCAATCTGAGCTTCTTAAAAGTCCTTTGAGTGAGCGAGTTCCCTAAGGGAAATTAAAACAGTCTGATCAGAGCAAAGAGAGTGAGTCTCTCTAATTCTGCAGTATGGCTCTCGGTAGTCACTGAAAATGCAGGCTCTTTTTAAAAAAAATGGCATCTCTTTTAAAGTAATTGGAGGGTGCAAGGGAGAGAAGGGGTAGACACTGAAGGCACATCAAACAGCAACTAGCTAGTGAGGCAGGAAGCGGCTCGTGACCTTTGGCTCTGATGTTTGTCCCTAGGCTCTAACACTCGGGTCCACCTGCACTCAAGTGCTTCAGGACGAATCAAACTCCGAGAGCATCTTTATCAGTGGCTACAGATGAGGCAGGAAGATGGAGACTGCCGAAGCTCGGGTGCAAGCTCATTTTCTTTATCAAGAGCTCTTTACGGGGCTGTTAGTGTCTTCCGGCGAGCTGATGGGTAGGTGGGGACTGTTCTCTAAGGAACGATGGCAATTTTTTTCTTCCCCCACGTGGAAAAATCCCTCCAGACAATATGATTAGACTGAGGGAGGGAGGGGCCCTACTCATTTTAACTTGCCGATTTTGTGCTAGGCTCAGAACACAAAATGACTTGGTTTTCAGCCATGCTCCTGTCAAGATTTTCTCCATAATTTAAAAATAATTTTCCATGCTGCCTTTACAATCACTTGTGGGCTGGAAGCTGGGAGTGTTTCCATCACCATCTCTCCCCTCCCTCACTGCAGGACCTGCAGGCTAGCTTCTTATGATGAGGTCCTCCTTGTTCTTGACAGCTTAGCTGGGGTAGATAGAGAGTTATTTTCAGCCTTGAGAAAGGCTGGGCACCTAAGAGATCAAAATTTTGATCTGGCGATTTTGGTGACACTCCTATAAATAACTACTTCAATGCAAATTAAATGGTGTCAGAGGGGTGAGAATTTCTAATGAAAATAGAGTTTGAATCGTCCCAAATGTCGAGGAGGATAAAAATACTGAAGCTAGGCTTAGGGACAAATTCCACGCCCCATCCGAGGGCTCTTAGGCTTTCTCCTCTGGATGATCAAGGTAACCACCAAGCCCACAGCTCCTAATGGAGGTCAGTGACTGCTGACTCTGTATGCAGATGAAAAAACGCTGCGACTCGGGAGAAACCTCTGGCCACTTGTGCTGCTGGCAACCCCCTCCTCCCATGAATAAAGTCACAAATAAAAGCAGTCACCTCCTGAGGATGCTCGGCCAGCACTGCCTGGCATATCTCTTCCAGCTCCTCTTGGTTCTGCAGCAGTTCAAGTTTCTTCTCTTGAATGATCTGGCCTGTAGTCTTCCCTTGGTTTTGCCACAGTTCCTCAAAAACCTAAGAACCAGAGTGGGGAGGGCATAGCAAAGAATGATCTCTGATACAAGGCATGACTCCCAATCCATGGATGCCAAGTTACAAGGGTTTGGGGAAGGGAGGAGGAGGGAGAGACAGGGCTGAACTGACACCAAAGTCTTTCTTATACTGAAAGTGAAAGAATCCATTAAGTGATGTGGATAGACCACTAGATTTGGAGTAAAAAAATCTACATTCAAATCCCGATTCCTTGGGTGGCCTTGAACAAGTGGCATCAACCCTTTGGGCCTGACTGTCTTCATCTGTAGAGCAATGGGGTTGGGCTAGATAACATCTAAGGCCCCTTGTGGCTCTAATGCCTAGCATTCATTTTTCATTAGTGTTCTATCCTGAACCACTGGTGACAAGTGCACCATGACAAGTGTACTGGGTGAAAAGTGACTTGAGGCTACTGGTGGCTCTGGGCTCCCCTTCTATCAGTTTGAACAGGTCTTTAGTGGGCGCCTCCTGCATACTCTCTTAGAGAGCTGCTTTCCTCCCTCTCCGCTGAATCATGACGGAGAGGCTGCTCTATCCGGGCAGAGTTGGTCTTCCCCCTCTGCGACACTGCTGTGGGAGTTGTGAGGGGGCAATGACTAGTCCCGGGACTCCTGCTGACAACCAGGAGACAGGCACACTATAAATCTGATGAACTAATTAAATGAAATGGCAACTTTCTGTAAAGGCTAGGACCCACGCAAAAGCGGTAGGAGGCAGCCAGTGGGCTGAGACCAACTCAGCTCCAGACAACTCATCCTGCTGGGGAAGAGGACTCCACGAGGGCAGGAAGTTATTTGGCTTCATAATGAGAATATAAAATAAGAACATAAACGAAAATGCACAGAATCCCCAGGCCTACCTCTTATTTATCCCCTACAGGTAGAGCTGGATACAAGCCTGACTGGGACAATTATCCATTAATGTCTGTGTGTTTTTTTATTTTTTAAAAAATAATCCCCTTGAAAATGAGGAATATTTGTAAGGAAGAGAGGCCTTCGGGCCTAGGGTGGTTATTTTCCTTCTTCCTTTTGTTCTTATACTGCCTGGGGGCTGCAGCAATGTTCTTTGTTCCTCCCGAAGGCCATGCTCGCCTGCAGTCATAATTGTATATTTATATCATCATTACTATGGCAATGAAGGAGATGGAAAACTCCCCATTCCCACTGTGGCAAAGACGGGGGCTGGTCAGGAGCCAGTCCTCCTAGGAGAGCAGATTTGTCCAACAACCAATGTGAAGAGTACAAGAACGGTAAGGTGAATGGGATGCTGCTTTCAGCCTTGGCAAAGTTGTCTTGACTTCCCCAGCCCACCAATGTGTCCAAGCATATACATAATTCTTGCAGACTGTTAAACATTTGTTAAGCACCTTCTGTGCACAGAGCACCATGCCTTTGGCGTGGTTCGCCTAGAGCGTCAGGACCAATGAAGCTGAAGCTGTGGCCCTGTAAACCCTCCTCTGTGTTACCAGCATGGGGGCTATTAGCCCAGTGGGATGGATGGGGTGAGAGTGCTGGTAGATACAATCTCTCTTTACTACATTAAATATTAAAAAAACAAACAAACAGTCTTAGATTCCCACGATAGGTCAATCTCAGTAATATACGATCTTTCCCTTTATTCAAGGTCTAGCTCGGGTGCCACTTCTTTTGTGAATGTTGTCCTTACCATGAAATCAGCATTCTATCCTCAAACTGTCCCATTCCATGTTGTCAGGATCTTTCCATTACCCATATCATATTTACCTTGCATCATGTGTATGTGTCCATAACACTAATTCCCTGAGGTCCTGTGTCATTCTTCATTTTCTTTTTTTTTTTACCCAGCACAGTACTTTGCATATAATAGGTGCTTAATAAATATTTAGAGATTTGCCACCTTGGAGTCATCCCTCAGAGTCTGGCTTGACTCTTTACCCTCCTTTACCTTTTCAAAGCTAGTCAACTGCCAAGTCTTACTGATCTTGCCCAACATTATTCACCTTCTTTTCTCATATAGGCACACTGCTAGTCTAGGCTCATGACCCATGGTTTGCACCATCACAGTGGTCTCCTCATTGGTCTCGCTGAGTTTGGCATGGTCTGGCTCATTTGGTCTGCTTTTCTGGACTGATTTTCCCATGACTCCCTCTCCTGTACTCAATGCTCCAGCCAATCTGGCTTATTTGCTGTCTCCCATACGTGACACTCCATCTCTGGCCTCCGTGCCTTTGTATAGGTTGTCCCCCTTGTCTGGAATGCACTCCCTCCTAACCTTCCTCCCCTAGTTTCCTTCAAGGCTCAGCTCAGGAGCTGAGCGCCTCCATAAGGCTTTTCCAGATCCTCCAAGTTTTCAATGTCTACTCCTGAAATAATTTTGTATTTACATTGTAAATACTTATATAAGCTGTGTGTACCAGAAAGAATTCTAGACTAAGATGCCCTGGGTTTGAATCTAGCCTCTGACACTGAATAGCTGTATGACGATATACAAGTTGAAAGCAGCTAGATGGCAACAGTGGATACAGCTCTAAGCCTAGAGTCATCAAATCTAGCCTCTGATACTTACTAGCTATGTGGCCTTGGGCAAGTCATTTAACTACTGTTTGCCTTTCAACAGCCAGTCAATTGCCAAGTCTTACTGATCTTGCCCAACATTATTCATCTTCTTTTCTGTAAAATGGGAATAATAATAGCATCTACCTTCTAGTTGGTTGTGAGGATCAAATGAAATAATTATAAAGAACTTAGCACAACGCCTGGCATACAGTAAGCACTATGTAAATGTTAATTACCATTGTTATTATTATTAAGTCACCCTCTTTGAATATACCTTTCCCCAAGTGCCAAATGAGGATAATAGCACCTACTTCACTGGGCTATAGTGAGGTACAAATGAGATAATGTGTTTGTGAATGAGATAAATGTTTGCAAATCTTAAAGCACCACATATAAATGTGAGCTATTACCATCATTATTTTTGTTACTATTATAATCTATGTACATATTCCCCCTTGTATCTTTCATGTGTCATGGTCTCCTTCAGCACTTTGGTGAAGCCTATCTACCCTTTCTCAGAATATAGTTTTAAAATGCAGATTACAGAAGAATCAATTATACTGAAACATAATTATTAAAAAATTTAAAAAAAGCAAGTTCACATACCCCAGGCCCTTTCAGAAGCTCTTGAACAAAGGGACTGTTTTTGCTTTCATCTTTTCACCTTTGAATCCCTGCTGCCTAGCATGGTATCTTGTATGCAGGAAGTGCTTAATAAAGGCTTGCTGAATCTAGTTACTGAATGAAAGACAGTGTACTTTACAATGCACCTTTTCCTCACAGAAGCTGGCAATAATGAAGCCTGGGTACCTGGTCTTTGCCCTTTTCCCCTGATACCTTTATTTTTTGAAGCTTCAGTTGAAACCTCGAGGGACGTCACCAGCAGTGTTTGCTGGGGAAGCAGTCCAGTTCCATGTCTTCCCAAAGAATTGCTGGAGAAAATGCAGGGAAATGCAAATTTACCTTTCCCAACTGACTAATGAAGACTTAAGATGGTCATGGGCACCAAATGGGACACGTGGCTTTCCTAACTGCTATTGTGAGCTAGCTCTACAGGAAAAAAAGCACATAAAAAAGCATGTTGTTGTTGCTGTTTTTTATAAAATACACTGGTGTTTAAAAAAAAAAGTAGTGCTGAAAAAAAAGCAGGTTTTTGGCAAAGTGTTTATTTCTGTTCAACTCTGTCTGCAGAGATGCCTAAAAAAAGAGACTACTCAAAAATGTACAAGCCATAGGTAGGGCATCCCTCGAGGTCTAGAAACACAGCTCAGAATAGAACCGCTGCCCCCCCATGCTAATCAAGAATCCATACATCTCTCTGAGGCAGAGCAGTTTGGTAGAAAAGGCAGGATTTGGGCCTGGATTGGCAGGGAGCCCGGATGGGGGCGGGGAGAACGCTGTGCACTCAGGGCCTTGTTGGGCATCAGCTCACCTTGACACCCTGTACAAACACCACAGACCCCAAAGCAAGGGAGCTGGTTCTGAGACCAGCAGAAACAACAACAACAAAGCAATGAATCTGGCACCTTGCATAGTGCTCAGGAAACATCAGCTTGCTAAAACTGGGTAGAAATACCCAGGATGAAGACACCCCATGAATACCTGAGAAGGCAAACCTACAAATCCCTTCAACAGTGGGCAGTATGCATCACACTCCTGAAAGAAAAAGAGTCCTGGGGACTTTCAGGAGCCAAGATGTATAAGTAGTAAATCGCTGTGACTCTCCCATGTTCACCTCTAAACAACCATAAAATAGCACCCCAAAAACAAATCCTGGAACAGCAGAACCAGCAAAAAGACAGGGTGAAACAATCTTTTAGCCCAAGAAACTTGGAAGATTGGCAGGGAAGTTCTGTCTCACTCGGGTAAAAGGGGAACACATTCCAGGCCAGGAAGCATCCCAGCAAGCCTGCAGCAAGCCCCACCTCAGCAAGCCAGTGGGAGATCCTGAGCCCCAGGGTGGTGGAGCAGGCAAATGCTAACACCAAAACCTCCCATGTGCCTCAGCAAAGCTAAGGGAATGGGTAGACTTCAGCTCCCAGAACTGTGCTTCAACATAGTCCTGGGCAAACAGGTAGATGCCAATCCTAGAGGTGCCTAAGCAAACAGCCAGCTGCCAGAGGCCAGACAGCCATGTGCTTCAGTGTAGCTCCAGGGAAACAGAAATACCCCACTGCCTCAGCACACACTAGATACCAGCAATAGCAGCACCAACCCCATCCTCTCAGCACAGCACTAGACATGAGGGTCTCCTGTGGGCCTCTGGGCAACACCAGTGCAGCACCAGGTAAACAGCCAGGGCCTTCAGCCCCTGTCACAAGAAGCCTGAGACAGTACCTCTTCTCTACCCTGGGAGCAGAGCTCAAATTTAAAAGAAAGGAAGAAGGTCAAAAAAGATGAGCAAAAAAACCAAAAAAAAAAAAAGAATCTGACCATAGAAAATTATTA